CGTTGAATAAGATAAAATAATAATAAATACACACTAAAAATACAAATAATATCAAATAACAACATTAGTTTACTCAAGTTTTGGTTTATGTTATATAGAAAATACTACGATAAACTTAAGTTAATATATATTTGTATACTATAGTGCGTGAGCTTTTATAGTTTTAAACACTATAAAATGAATTATTAAAGATTTATGTTCTATATTATTATACGTATACATAACAATTTAATAAAGAAAATGTTTTTATCATAGCTTAAAGAAATCACAACTGTAATGAAAACTATTTAAGTTAAGTATTGCTGTATTCGCAATATCTGTGTCTTTTTTTCTTTTTCTTTTTTTTTTCTTTTTATTTATTTCAGTCTGTGCGACTATTACAGAAAACACACCATTATGATTAATTCTTTTAAAACTTTGTTTTTTCAAAAATATGTGTATATATATGCTTATATGTGGGCGTGGGAATACACATACACACGCACGCGAATTTTGCATGACGAGCCACAATTGCGTAGACTGAGAAAAGTTGGCGTCTGTCGCGTCGAGATGCCGCTATATAATCATATGTATGGAAATGCTTTGACGTCGTCTTTTCTGAAGTCGATCCATCCAAGGGTTCAGGTTACGAATATGGAAGAGCAATGGTTAGTGGTAACAAAGTTTCTTTACGAACTCAGAACAAAAAGAACGATCCTAAAGACCTAAGGGCGCGGATAGGAGAGCGCAGGGCGGAGAAGAGGATATGCTACACTCCAGGGAAACCGCAGCCGTTAAGGTTCATGCAGCTCGCATGGCAATCTCCCTTTGTTTTCTTTTTCTCTTTTAGTTGAAAGTAAATGCGGCATGCCCCCACTCTTATGATGCCCCCCCCCCCTTCGTCCGCCCGCCCCTCTCAGCGCAGCAATTCTGGCAATGGGGTAAAAAAAAAAAAAAAGAGAAAAAATCCTGAAAAACTTAAAGCCACAATGTTGTGTCGGCAAAAAGGCAACGGAAAGTCGAGAAAGTAGCTCGCGATCGATATGTGGCGCTTTGCGCGCCACAAATATGTAATAAAAACGGATGCGACATCGTTTCACACGCGACATGCACAGCCGCGGACACGCAAATAATTTAGCGACGCCTCGAGTAGAAACAGACACGGCACAATTGGCTTATCTTAATGTCTCCTGCGCTTTTTCAACCTAATGGTCAGGACTCAGGTCCGCGTGATATATCCCACGTGCACCATAACCACGTCTTCGTTTGTTAATGCTCCCGGCATATCATCCATTCGCTGTCTTTCCCTGTTTTTCGACCCCAAGGGGCGCCACCCACGCAATTCGTTTAATAGTCGAATCACTCAGTTGGAAATGCGCTTTTTCTTCGCACACGCGATAGAACACAAAGAAGTAAGGAGCGCGGACCTTTCGCCACTGCAGCGGACGTTTAATCCGTTGTATTATCCGGGTCCTTGGACGGTGTTCGTACGAACAAATGAGAATGGGGTGGAAGAATTATCGACGCTAGGGACGTTTTCGAAGCTGATTGGGTGAGGGTGCAGTGAGATAAACGTTCGAGCAGGTGAAATGTCCGCGACGTTCGCAAGAATGTCGGTAAAGTGGAAACGGCCGGCAGGCCGAAAGAAGAAGGAAAAAAAAAGTATGACGGGGAGCAAAGGCTAAATGAATGGATAAAAGTGGAAAATGCGAAAAACGAGGACATCGGGTGGTACCCGCCGCTGCGGAGTTCCGTTTCCTTGGAATAATTCGACTGCACTTTGCACTTTTGGTTACGAGTGCGCGGCTCGTTTTACAGTTTTGTGTTTAACTTCAGCTTACTTGTCTCGATGATACTTGGCTTTTAGCATAACTCACGAATGAAAAGATGCCGCCGCGATGAAACGGTGAATGACGAAAGACGCGAGTAGGTCATGAACGCGACGAAAGTAGCCATCCTCACTAGGAATACATTGGAGACTTGGTGTGCCGAGCCTCTACGCTTGTATCTTCGGCTCTCTCTCTCTCTCTCTCTCTCTCTCTCGTGTGTGTGTGTGTGTGTGTGTGTGTGTGTGTGTGTGTGTGTTGTGTGCAACTGTGAGCGGAGGGGCGAGCTAATGGAACCGTGACGGAGGAGTCCTCGGGGATGGCAATGGCAAGAGGAGAGAAAAATGGGTGAGGGGCGGGTACGCGTGAGTTTAAACACTCCCTGTAATTACCGGTCGTGGCAATTTACCGGAACTTTACGCTTAATTAACAATAGCAAAGTCTCGTGTTGCCAGGTCGAGTGCCGAGGAGAGCTAAAGAGGAAGCGGAATGATAGTGTAGAGTAGAACGGGAGTGGTGGGGACGGCCGGTGTTGTTGTCGGTGGGTCGAGGAGGGATAAGGGAGAAACATGTGCGAAAATCCGCCGAGTACACTACATTTGTATGTGTCGGAATCCGTGGAAGCAGCGGGGGGGGGGGGGTAAACTAAGAAATTAAGCAATTAACTGGGAAATTAAGT